CTCCCCAGCACTAAACACAATGATGATAAATGTTAGGAAGAAAGTAATCGCTGCCCATGTAGTGAGACCGTGGCATTGCTTTATTCCTTTCCTTATGTATGTGGTGGATGCCCAGGGAACCAGCCGGCTTCACTTGGTCAGCGAATTTTAAGAATAAGAGGAGGGGGTATTTGTAAATGGCCACTTGGTGCCCTCAGTTATTCTTAAGACCTAACATATTGCATTCAGTCTTTGATGATGACGGGGATGAAGTTAAAGACCTTATGTTCTAATACTAGACTCTGACGCTCCTCCATTTTCAACAATGTACTTACTGTTTTGTATTGAGCACCTACTATGTACCAGGCGTTTCACATACATCACTTTCTTGCCTAGAGAGCTTGCTCTGTGCAGATGTCGCTGGCCTGGTTGCACTTCAAGTCCAGGCTACGGGCCTAGTGGCCTTTCCCGGCCTCGGCGCAATATTGGAAGCCCCAACTGTAGCGAGGGCGCGGGACATTGCAGTTCCCGCCATGCCCGTCCGCCAGGAAGGCGGCTTGGGGACCTGAGGCTCGAGCTGCGGGCGGAGAGACAGCTGTCGAGGTCGCACCCAGGGACTGCGCCCCCGCGGGGCCGACTGGGCGCCAGGCCGAGAGGAGAGGCGGCGAGGGGCGGGGCGCGCGGGGCGGGACGGAGGAGGGGCGGTGGCACCGGAGGCTCGGGCACCGCGCGCCGAGGAAGTCCCTCTCCGAGAGCTGCAAGCGTCTGGCGGAGGCGCGCTCGGCGCAATCGGGGAGCGAAGTCCGGAGTCAGGGGCCCCCGGTGCCGCCGCCGCCCCCTTCTGACACCCATTCAGCCAGGGTGCCCGCGGCGCCGGTGACGGCCGCTGATGGAGTTCACTTGAGCTGTTAGCCGACGGGAGAGGCAGGCGCCCGCGATCGCGATCGGAGCTCGGGCCGAAGCGCAGCCAGCCCTGGGCGCTGGCCCACCACCCGCCAGCTCCGGCCCGGAGGCGCCGTCGGCCCGGCGTAGCCCGTCCGGCGCCCCGGCCGCTGCAGCGCCCCCAGCGCGCCGCACGCCGGTGAGATTGGCCAAAAATAAAGACTCCCGGAGCGCACCCCTCCGGCGCGGCGGCGGCGGCGGGACCAGGAGCAGGCGGCCCGTGGCGCTGCTGGGGAGGCGGGCCCGGCAGTTGCGGAGCCCAAGGCTGCCGCCGGGGAGAAGCCGCCGCCGCCACGGTGCGCCCTCCTCCTCCTCCTCCCTCTCCCTCCTCCCTCCCTCCGCACATGGTCTCCTTTGTCCTGTCGCCGCCGCCGCCTCGCTCTTAGCTCCGCGCGCCGCGGCCGCGGCTCGGGCCGCTCCAGTCTTCTTCGTCCGCCCGCCGGCCCGCCCGGGACGTTCCTCGGGTCCCTGCAATTACCTGCCGCCCCCGCGCTCGGCAAGAGCGGCCCGAAGGCGGCGGGAAGCGCGGCCCGGTGCGTCCCTCCCGCCACAGCCCCCGCCGCCGCCCTGCTGGCCCGGCCGCTCTCGGATGTGTGCGCGGCGCCAGCTCCCGCCGCCCGAAGCTGTGGCTCCGGTACGGATCTGGTTCGTGCATCCACTTCAGACTTTCGCTAGGACGGCAGGAGACTCTTGCGAACGGAGCCCAGTCGGAGTTGGGCGTTTTCTCTTCGCGTGTTTGGCTGGTTTTCCCCTGGTCTCTGACGACTCCCCATTGTGAACCCTGCTAAGGAACCCAACCATGAACTTGGGGCTGACAGGACCACTTAACCCTTTGCGACCAGGTAATGCAGCCCTGGGGGCACAGCCCCTCGCCCGCCGCCCACGGTCGGAGGGGAGGCAGCCGGGTCCGGGGTCTTTTGTTGCGGCGGCTCAGCCTGCGGGCCGGGGCAGCAGGGCGGGCTCCCGGCGTCTGGCGCGACGGAGCCCCCTCGTCGGCTCTCTGCCCCGCGCTCTCCTGCACCCGGGACGCCCGCCTTTGTACTTTCCTCATCGGCCCGTGGCTCGGCCCGGGAGCAGCAGCACGAGCGGCCGGAACTGCTCTGGCGGCCCGAGGGCTGCAGACTTTCCTGGGTCTTCCCCGCGCGCGGGGCGCCGCCGGACCCGGAGCCCGGCCGGGGCCTGCGCGACTGGGGCCGCAGACCTTGGCGTTGGGCTGCGCGGTCCCGCGCTAAGGTCGGATCCCGGCCCGCACACGGTGCCAAAGAGAAAGGAGACCTGGGCTCGGGATCGGCGGCAGTTTGGGAAAGAACTCGCGCTTAAGTTTTGGGGAGGTCTCCCTTTTCTTTTTGAAAACTCCTTCTTCCTGCGGGTGCGGAGGGCTGCCCCCCAGCCTCCGGCCGAAGGAAATTCAGGGGGACCCCGAACCGGAGCGGCTGCATCCCACCCGCTTCTGCACGAAAGGCTTTTACTGGTTTCCCTCTGTTCTTTCCTTCAATTTGTTTGACTTATTTAACTTTTCTTTAAACAACCACGGCGCCTAGTAAATTTTTAGTAATAAAAAAATCTGCGCTCTCCTCAAAAAGCAACCAAAAAAGCTTTCTTTTTTTTTTTTTTGTATCAATGTTTTACATGTAGCCACTTAAGACCTCATCCTCCATCACCGAATGATGGGGATGAAACGAAATGACGAGCAAAATCTAAATAAAGGTCTTTAGCATGTGAAGGTGCCCTGCGTTACAAAAGAGGGGAGAAAGGGTTTCGTTCCTCTGCAGACTCGGCGCGCACCGCGTTTCCATATGTCGTTCCTGACGTTAAAAAAAATAGGAAGATAGTCCTGGTATATAAGGAATTGGAGATTTTTTTCCTAAAAACAGTAAAAATGAAAACATCCCAAACATTAAAACTCAAGGAGCCAAATAATTTGCTCAAATGCTTTAAAAGTGTAAGTAGAATTTGGAAAGTTTACGGAGGAAAAGCAAAGAATTTTCTTGTAGTTTCCACTTAAGACTTTGGGTAAGAAGCTCTTTTCTAACTCTCAGGGCAGCGGTCAGCCACAGTTTTAACCACCTGAATGGAAGAGACGAGGCATCCAGGGTCCTTTTATGATCAGCCAAAGCCCCATCGCGATCGTTTTCTTCTGGGTGTTTCTCTGTGGCGGCCTTGTTGAGACTCCTTTCCCCAGCTGCAAGAGGCATCTAGAGGCTTTGTGACATGTATCAGAAAATTAAAGGGCTGCAAAAGCTTTTATTAGAAGGTGTATTCCTAAGCCTCTCTGAATATCCTGTCAGACTTATTTCTGTCATAACTTACTGGTCGGCATCATAATAATCACATCTAAGTTTTGCTTCAGACGTAGGATCCCTCAACCACTTACTTGAGAACACAGCTTGTAGCCCAGTGGGGCTGACAAAGGTGGCAGCCCCGAAGGAGGGTGTGGAAGACAACCAGAGGCCCTGTCCGCCTTCACCCACGGCCTCTGTCCTACACCATCTTTCTCACTGACACACAGGCCAGTGCAAATCAAAACTCAGTCAGGAACCATTTCCTTTCCTTACCTGTGCCTTTTGCTTTGCTTTGGGGGTGCAGTCATTCATTTTTATATTTCTTTGAGCCAGTTAGGCTCATTGTAATAAGTAATTCCACAATCTGCAAGGGTTATTTTAATCTGAAACAATGATTTCATTAGCAGATTTTTTTCTTTTAAGAATATCAGCTAGAGTTTATTTTTAAGCCATTAATTTAATATAGCCATTTCAATTAAAATCAAATACAGTTTTTCATCAAAGAATGGTGAAATACTCCTCTCTAAGTTTTTACCTGGGAAACTCACATTATCTAGAAATCTCAATTTTCCGAACCACCCCTGAAATTGGAAAATTAGAATGAAAATAAAGGGAAAAGTAGTCATAATAAAAATATTTTATGTCTTCCTGTATCACTTGCTTTGAGAACTAGAACATGGTCCCCAGATGTGCACAGGAACATCTCATCTCTGTCAGCATAACATGGAAAAACTAAATGGAGTATTTTCTTTGTCTCTGAAACCCAGCCCCAAAGTCAGAACACGCTGTACTTCAGAATCTCCCCTTCCTCTATTTTCTACCTTTCTTTCTTTTTTAAATGTATTCAACATTCTGTGCTTTGCTTTGTCAAACATACATCTCTATAAAGTGTGAAAGAAAGATAAGTGGTTTCTTACAAGGATTCAGTGGCCAAAACAGCATAAATGTAACATAGCCATTATAACTTTAAGTGTAGACAGACACATCTTCAAATTAAATAGTAAGGGTGCTTAGTTTTTAATTTTTTAATTTTTCAAGTTCTAGAATTATTCGGTCCTTTCGAAACATTATTTTCCTACAAAGTGACTTCATTTTTAGTTTCTAGAACATTAGTGTATATAATTTAGACTAGCTTTACTCTCGCTGTTTCAACGGGCTTATTTCACCTGCCTTAAGCCGGTGTAATAATTAGCACACACAATCTCTAGAAAATGGAAGGGAAATTATGCTGGTGGCATGTGCACTGTCGGTGTTGGGGGCAGCTCAACTTGCTTGGTTTCAATACCAAGGTCATCCTGGGTACTGTAAGGGGCAGGAACCTCAGGGTCACCAGATGAGTAGTTTTATACATTAATTCCTGGGAGCGCTAATCGACACTTTGTAGTGAGAAAAAGCATGGCATTAAATAATAGGCATTTCTGGATTGTGAAAAGAAAATTGAAAAATAGGCATGTCTGCAAATATGAAAAAAGTAGCATTTCCAAAATAATGATCTGTCAACGAAATTGCAAAATCATTACGTGAACGAGCTGAATTGCTTTGTGTATCATCTCATAGAAATATGTTTTGCACAGATAATACATCTAATAAGGACACGTTTTTAAAGCCAGATTTTTTCCCCCAGCAAAGAGCTGTGCGCAGGTCTCTCTCACGCAGTCACCTAGCACCACCTTATGGAGGATTGTGGAAATGGTTGCTTCCCCTGTTGGCTTTTCTAAAATGCGGATGTAAAATAATAGTAACGAAGGTAGAGACAACAATAATGTCACATTTTTTTTCTCCCTTCTTGTTTTTCAGGCATCAGATGCCAGCTCTGAAAAACTCTTCAATACTGTCATTGTAAACAAAGGTAAGACTCCAATTCTGAGCAATGGCTCACATATTTTTACATTTGTGTCGTCGTCATCATTGCCTAGGAAGGCAGACTAAATAACAATGTGTCTTTCTTTTTTCATTCTGGAATTGTTATATTTTGTGGTTTGCTTGAGACAGATGCTATATTCTTGTGTGATATATTAAAAACCATTTATTTTAAAGAATACATTGAATCTGTATTAAAATTGATTTGGCTAAAAAGTCACAACTATCTGTGTGGCTTTAATGTAATGTAGGAGGCAATAATGGAGAACAGTAGTTCTCCAAACGCCTTAACTTTATTGTTAGTTATCAACTACCCAGTAGTGGGAGAGTTGTAAATAGCCGATTTGTGCTGCAGACTCTAATAACCAGTGGCTGTTTAGTATTCACAATATTATGGCCATAAACCAAGCCTTACTCTGCTGTGGGCTTTCTGTAAAGTTAATAAACGAGCAAGAGGGCAAAATTTAAATATGTGCTCTCCCATTAATTTTTTCTAAACCGCAATACGCAGAGTTAGAGAGGCTAATGATATAGCAGTACATTAAGGGAAAACTTAATCTTAAATCATTGCCAATTGATTTCAGGGCAGTTTTCATTTGTAGCAGTACTGTTGGAAATAATGAAATTTAAGGTAGTGTCTAATGAGGGGCTTTACAAAGGTGTATGCTTTGAAAGGTATCGATTATATAAACTATTTGACCTTTTCATCTCCACTATAGAACCTGATGTAGGGGCGTGCATGATACTTGCGGAAAGAAGGTGGGCTTTTCTCTGGGAATCTCGTTCTGTGTTACCTGGACGACACTGGGCCGCGCCTGTGCAAACTTGGGCCTTCATAAAGTGAAATTTGAAATCACTTCAGCATCCCATAGTTGCCTGGGCTAGCATTTTTTGCTGGGTGGTTATCAAGACGCATTTTCAAGTGCAGTTACTTTTGGGCTCCCGTGCTATGTTAGAGGTAGAACAAACTGCAATTATAAATAGTGCATTATGTTTAGAGTTCCCTTGAGGTGTATGTGCTTATGTCAGTGCTGTTACTCCCAGAATTATTGTCATATTGAATGTTATCCCTTTTTTTTTTGCATAATGGAGTATTCCAGTTTTATATTGCATCATATTTTTGATGGAGTGAAAGTTTGTATGAATTTGCTAACATAACACTAACAGCTCAGTAAAAGAAGGTATGTGCCGTTCATGTCATACATTACTCATATGTAAAAACTCGTAATTGTTTATTCCTCATTTTGATGGTGGCGAGGACTGGTAGACCGGGGTGCCTCTGTGTGGAAGGCGGGGCGGGGTGGTAAGAGGAGGAGAAGCGGGATGGGCTAGTCACCAAAAGGAGGTGTTCTGTGTTTTGGTGACTCCCAGGCCCCAGCCCCTCCCAGGATCTCCAGTCCCACGTGACTGGGTCTTTTTTTTTTTGGCCTGTTTGCTATAAAGCTTTGGAATGTGTCCCGCTCTCTGGAATCAGCCCGGGAAAGCAGGTTGGCTCAGGGACCTGCATTTAGGCCGCCGCTGCCCTCACCAGGCTGAAAGGCTCTCTTCAAGGCTGGCAAAGAGTGATTGATGATGAGGAGCGCCCCTCCGCTCCTTGCCTCCTGCTCTGCCCCCTGCTCTCCCTTTTCCAATCAAACATTTCCCACATTCTTATTTGTGTTTACTTACAGAGTGTGATTTGTGGCATCTATTTGGTTGTGAATAGTCACCCCCTGACAGGGTGCCTTTCTCCTGAGCTGCTTTTCTGGGGGTGATTTAGTTGCCTTAAAGGGATTAAGGTTTCTTTGTGAACACTAAAATCAACATAGGCTTTTTCTAAGCTTTGCTTGGGAAACCATACACAAATAAGCATTTTAGTTGATGGCAGATTATGCCTTTGCCCCTTATTTCCATCAAAATAGTCTTTCTTTTCTCCTCCTGAGTTGCCCCTTAATGCCTTATGCTAATTCCTGTTGGTAACATGAATGACAAGAGGCTGAATCAATGCAAATCCAGGTGCTGCAGACTAGACTGACTGGTGTCCAGCCCACTCCCCTCCCTTGGGAGAAGGAGATTAAGGGGAGCTGGAAAGGGGTGGGGGGTATGGGGACATTTTTGTTAAGGGGATTAGTATTCAAACTGCTAAACTTCAGGAAAACAACTTCAAAAAGCGATTCATTGTGTAGTGATAATGTCAACAATGGCTTCAAGACAGGTGCAGAGAGTCTCGAGATATGCTCTTGATTTTTGGTCTGTTTTCACTCCCGGGTAGTGGCAGTATTTATGGGATGGATGGTTGACAAGGCCTTCAAGGAATTGTCAGCTTCCTGCACGTCAAGTTCAAGTTCTGCAAAGCAGCCTGCCTGCCTGCAAGTCAGATCTCCTGTCTCTGTCCAGTATTCTTAGCTAACAGCAATAAAAAGCATCGTAAGAAAGGGCAAACTTACACCAGGTAACAAACACGACTGGGAAAACCTTCAAAGCCTCCGTGTATTGAACTGTCGAACAAGCATGCAGGAAAGCTGACACGTGTATTTCTGCACCTCCAGATGTTTAAAGCTGCACACCCCCTCTCCAGCTCCAGAGTTCCTCAGTGCTCCTGCCTCAGAGGAGCCTGGCTGTAAGCCGCTGCCCAGATGAGATTATGCTGCTGAGCCCGGTGGCGGGCAGATTTGGACCATAAAATTTCACTGTGGGAGGGCAGTGTTAATCTCACAGACTGATTGTGGTGGGGGGCTTGGTGGAGGGGGGCACAGCTTTGATGTGTGGATGTTGGAGATGAAGCTCCAGGCCGAAGCAGCAGGGCCCGTGGCTCAACTCCCATCAGTCTGTAGGTGAGCTTGAATAGGTCATGTAGCCTGTTCAGGTCAGCATTTTCAACCATAGCGAACCTCCCAGTCAGTCCTAGGCCCCACATCTCTGGTGGGGATTTTTTGTAACAGTTAGTAGTTAGGTATGATGGCTATGTCTTCTATCACTTCTGCCCATTGGTTTTATTTTTGACATTCTCTGTATTGTGGGGTCCCTCCAATTTAATAGAGAACTAGGAAGGTTTTCTGTTTCGGTGTTCCAAGTCATTGCTTTCTTCTGACAACTTTTATTTCTTATTTTAAAACAAATGAATCAAGCAGTGAGTGCACGCATGCACCCATGACAGGCGGGAAGCTGCGTCTCCAAAGTGCAGGGCTTAGGGCTGTAGTACACATAAAAAAACAGTTTCAGTTTAATCAAGGTCATGGTTGCCTTATTGAGTTTTTATGTGTTTAAATGTTTACAGGATGTTCATGTGCATTTTATGAATCCTTCTGTCTTTGTGACTCAACCATCTGCCAAAGAAAAAATGAACTTTCCCAGTGAGACAGAGATACACAGAGAGTGACTTCTTGTCCGTGCTGAGTTGGTTGAACTGCTTAGGGGGCAACAGGCCTTCCACCCAGAATGCTGGAGTGTTTGTCCTTAAAGCTACTCTCCAGTCCACTCAGTGTGGCCGGCAGTGTGCGGTGGTGCCCTTTCTTACCTACCACAGGCCCTACTACTTGTCTGGTTTGCCACTTTGATATATAGACAGAAATGCAGAAGATGAGTATTTTGCTGCCTGTGACCATCTTGCCCAGATAAGTTCATCTCTTTTAAACTCTGAAATTGCTTCAGGGCAGAGCTCCCTGGGGAGGAAAAAAGCAGGGCAGCCCTACCTGGGAGGAAGGGTAAAGGTAGTCTCTGGAGTCCTTTGCTTACATACAGCCCCCGGGTGGTTTCATGGTCTGGGTTAGGGGAGGAGAAAAGGACCCTTTTTGCCCCAGAGCCCTCGTGTCCAGAATCTGTCCTGTAGGCAGGGCAAGTTATAAAGCACAGGTGGCCGGGAGGTGCAGTTCCCATCTGGATTTTCTTACCGCTTCTTCTCCACCGCTGTCACTGTCGTCTCACACTGTAGCCTTGGGCCCTCCTGCGTGAGCTGTTAGAGAGCTGAGCCGGCTGAGTGGGCATCTCTGAGGTGCTGAGGTGGGAATGACCCAGGGAGGGCGGAAGCTGCTGGCCTGTGCTCCCCCTGCTGTGAGCACCCAGGGTCTGCCGAAAAGGGTGAAGCAGAGCAGCAGCCACGCAGCAGCCACGCAGCAGCCTAGGTCGGCCCTGAGCTGGGGGGATCCCTCACTCACTCCCCAGGATGAGGACCAGATGGCGCCCTGGGGCCACCGGAGCTCTCTCAGATCCAGGTGCCTCTCCTCCTTCCGGCCCTACCAGGCCTACTGGTCGTCGGTGCACCTGACCTCTTCTTGGGGTCATTCTGTACTGAGACTTCCCATGGGACGCAGGGGAGGTCAGAGTCTTTAGGCCAGTGGGGCTTTCAGTATTTTTGACAGTGTGGTTTTATGAGCGGTGTAGAAAGAAAACCTGGCTGAAAAGTCGCTCGAGATTTGAGGAGAGACCAGGTGTCAGACATGTTACTAGAGATATACCTGTTGGGCGTGCTGAGGTGCAGTAACTGGGTACCTAATACGTCCTTTAATGGAGAAGATCTCACCTCATTCAGTAGTTTAGGCATGAAAGGGAAAGTCCTTGGTTTGGTGACTGAAAAGCTAAGTTATATTACCACCAAGGCCACCACTGACTTGAGAAAAAAACCCTCTTCTAAAATATTTCTGTGCTTTTTATGCAAGTGAAAATAATGCAGTTGATGATAGGATAGCTTTCTTTAAAAAATTATTTTTAAATGTAAAGTTTAAAACCCAATCATAACGAACATAGAGACCATTTACAGTTCCCTGCAGCGTCCTGGGTTTAGTGGTCACGGGCCCAACCTGAAACATTCTCGAAGTGCCCAAGAGCCCATGTCAGCCTCTGTGCATTAGCTGCGTTTTCCTACTGTCTTAAATCTTAGGTAAGGGGACCTTGTTGGCTGTCATGCATTTTTCGGTTTTCTTTCTCTCCTCCTTTTTAAATACTTTTTCAGAGCGTTGTGTGGGGGAGGGGGGTCTTTAGGAGATAGAGACGTCTGGTGTGTGGAGAATTAAA